TATTATCCTATATTTACTTTCTAGTATACATTTATCCTGCCTCATTTCAAGAAAAATTATCAATTGTGTTATAATCAGGATTTTATATAAAATGTGTTCTATTAGCAGAAACAATCTAAAGTGCAAAGAGTTTAATTTTTTTTTTTTTTTTTTTGAGGCGGAGTCTCGCTCTGTCACCCAGGGTGGAGTGCAGTGGCCGGATCTCAGCTCACTGCAAGCTCCTCCTCCCAGGTTTACGCCATTCTCCTGCCTCAGCCTCCCAAGTAGCTGGGACTACAGGCGCCCGCCACCTCGCCCGGCTAGTTTTTTGTATTTTTTTTTAATAAAAAATCTGAATGAAATGTAGAACTTGGAAATTAAGTTGACTTTTCTTTTTCTTTTTTTTTTTTTTTTTTTTTTGAGACGGAGTCTCGCTCTGTCGCCCAGGCTGGAGTGCAGTGGCCGGATCTCAGCTCACTGCAAGCTCCGCCTCCCAGGTTTACGCCATTCTCCTGCCTCAGCCTCCCGAGTAGCTGGGACTACAGACGCCCACCACCTCGCCCGGCTAGTTTTTTGTATTTTTTAGTAGAGACGGTGTTTCACCGTGTTAGCCAGGATGGTCTCGATCTCCTGACCTCGTGATCCACCCGTCTCGGCCTCCCAAAGTGCTGGGATTACAGGCTTGAGCCACCACGCCCAGCCAAGTTGACTTTTCAAATATGCTGACAAAATAGTTACCTTTTTAAAATTTCAAAATTACTGATATTAGAAGGCAGAATACAAAGTACACTGTGATTACAAGATTTTAAATAAAAATTATTTAAATAAAGGCTTTTTGACTTTTTAGTAGTAGCCGTTCGGACTGATGTGAGATGATACCTTGTTGTGGTTTTGATTTGCATTTCTCTGATGATTAGTGATGACGAATATTTTTTCATATGTTTGTTGGCCACTTGTATATCCTCTTTTGAGAAGTGTCTGTTCATGTCCTTTGCCCATTTTTTAAAATGGGATTATTTGGTTTTTGCTAGTTGAGCTGTTTAAGTCCTTAAAAAATTCTTTTGTGGGTATAGATGTAATATATGGGGCCACTACCAACTCAGTACTACTTTACACAAAATGATTGATATGGAATTGCTTGGATAATATGATGTCTAACTCCAGAAGGTAGAGACTTTGGTTAAGAATTTCAAGGAGAGATTTCTTTCCTTTTAATCTTTTCCAACAAGATCCAAAGCCTCCACAGGTATGCCTCTTCATCATTCTTGCCAGGCAGGTTTTAGTTTTCCTAATTTACTCAATGAATGCGGTATCTTTTGGAAATCTCCACTTTGTGTAAGAATTGTCAAGCTAATTAAGCCTTGTGTGGTTGGTTAGCACCCCAATCTTTATTGAAACACTAATCACAATAGCTAAGATATGGAATCAATCTAAATGTCCACCAACAGATAATGGATAAAGAAAATGCATTATATATACACAATAGAATACTATTCAGTCATTAAAAAAATAAAACCATGTCATTTGTGGCAAATGAATGAGCCTGGAGAACATTATGTTAAGTGAAATAAATCAAGAACAGAGAGATAAATACCACATGTTCTGCCTCAGATGTGGGAACTAAAATAAATTAACAAAATGGGCAAAGAAATTAACACAATTTGACATCTTTTAGCAAACTAGGAATTAGAGAATGTTTCTTTTGAGTGATTAAGTGCATATGACACAAACTTTCACTCAATAGCGTCTTGAATACTTTTCCCCTAAGATCAGGGACTGTAAAACTATGTCTATATCTCTACTTTATCTCAACATTTTACTGGAGGTTGTAGCAAATATAAGGGTAAGAAACAAATATAAAAGGCATACAGAATTAAAAGGAAGAAGCAAAACTCTATTCATAGAAAACATGATTGTGTACATAGAATATCCTAAGGAATTTACAAAGAAACTACTAAAAGTAAAGAGTGAATTTAGCAAAGTTCCAGCATACAAGGTGCATATATAAAGATCAACTGTATTTTCCAGTAGTGAATACTGAAAACTAAAATGTAAAAGATACCATTTACAATAGTATACAAAAAACTTATAAAATACATAAGGATAAATTAGTAAATACTGTAGAAGACTTATACACTGAAAATCACAAAAGAAGTGTTGGCAAATTTTTCTGTATTTGCCAGAAATACAAAGGACAGAAATACAAAGGATAGTAAATATTACAGGCTCTGCAGATTGCATATGGTCCCTGTTGCATATTTTCCTCTGTTTTTCTTTCTTTTTTTCTTTCTTTTTTTCTTTCTTTTTCCCTTTCCTCTTTTCTATAAACTTTGGAAACTCTTATCACCATTCTAAGGTTATTGGTATTACAGAAACAGGCTGGAAAAAATTCAGCTCATGAACTGTAATTTGTCAACCCCAACCACAAAATAGTCTCTGAGAGAAAATTACAGCATTCTAAAGACTGGGCACGGTGGCTCACACCTTTGGGAAACCAAGGTAGGTAGATCACCTGAGGTCAGGAGTTCAAGACCAGCCTGACCAACATGGTGAAACCCCATGTCTACTAAAAATACAAAATTAGCTGGGCATAGTGGTGCATGCCTGTAGTCCCAGCTACTCCAGTGGCTGAGGCAGGGGAATCACTTGAACCTGGGAGGTGGAGGCTATAGGGAGCTGAGATTATACTATTGCAGTCCGGCCTGGGAAACAAGAGTGAAACTCTGTCAAAAAAAAGAAAAAGAAAAAGAAAAAGAGTTCTAAATATAAGGAACTGTTTACCATCCTGATACAGTGCACTATTTGATATCAGTAAATTGCCAATTTCACCCAGGATCCTGAAAAGTAGGTCTATGGAATTGTCATAAGAGATGTTGGTGTCCTTGGAGCATAAGCCTCTTAAGACAGGGTGTATCTTGCACCTAAGTGGTCTCCTGTCCTGTACCTGGGAGAAGACAGTTCACAGACAGCTATGTGGTTTGTGCAAGACTCATTTAGCAAATGCCCAATATGGTTGTGCTGACAATTGGTGCTCTCCACCCTGCATCTTCTGATGCAGGCAGTGAATACTCTCATGACAGGCGTACCATGGTGCTAAGTACCCTAAGGACTATTTAAAAATGTAAATACATGACACATATGATGAGGCATCACCACTGTCAGGTGGTCAGTGGATAAACTCTGGAATCAGACAGTCTGAGTTCAAATCCTGACTCTCCCTTATGCCCACATGGGTGACCTGAGGAAGGTGCTAAGTCCTAAATGCTGTTTTCAATTTGAAAAATTTGTTAAAAGAGGGAAGGATACCTGCTTGCCTGGAAGGGATGGTAAGGGGTGCAGGATGTGGGAGGATCGAGGTGCCAAGTACCCATCTCAGAAACCTTCACAGCCCAGCTGGACTCATACCTCATGCCCATGGACCCACACCTTCCTAGGTGGCCACAGAGAAGATATGCCCGCTCCAGGACTTGGGGGCCCTAGAGGGATCCCTGGAGGAAACAGTGTGTGGTAGCCCTGAGCTACAATATGGGAAGGGGATGTTGTGGGAGCAAACTGGTGTCCTCTGCAGAGGTTGTCTGAAAGGAAGAGGTCAGGACAAATCATGCCCCACACTGCTTGGTCTCTCCTCCGCATTAGAGCACGTGTTTTGCAGCTGCAGCCCTGCTGGGCCACCTGGGTGCACCAGTAATGGCATAAGACAGAGTTGATCCCTGCTGGCCACAGCCCCACCTCTCCTACCCTGATCTCTTGTGAGCCAGGGCCCCATCCTGGCAGGATGTAGGACACTCTGACCTCTGACCTCCAATAACCCCAGAGAAAAGGGCTAGGAGACTCACAACCTAGCCCTAACCTAGTTGCTGCCCCTAGGTTAGGTGCTGAGGAGCCTGCGCACCTGGCGATCTGGGGGTGACGGCTATGTGGGGTCCTATAATACACAGTCCTGAATGCTTTTCCATGTCATTGGGCATGCCTGGTGCCAAGCACCTGCGAAGAGCATGAGCTGTCTCAAGCTCTCAAAAGTCCTGCTGGGACTCCCCTTTGCCCTTCGGTGACTTGTCTTTCCTCTCTGCTCTAGCACACCCTTTCTCTGGTGTGTGTTCCAGTGACATGTCACAAGCATCTAGCATGGTTTGCCTTGGAGGAACACGCAGCTAGGAGACCTCTCTCTCCAAATTTCTTACTAGACTCTCAGTGTCAGACAGCACACAAACTGCTCTTCACGGACAACTTCCTCAGTAAGCCTCACCCTGCCCGGCCCCCGGGCCACCATCCTCCTTTTTCTCCCCGTCCTCTCCGTTCCTGCTTCTGGCAGGAATCCTCCTGCTGCACCTGTGCATCTTCTGAACACAGTTCCTGGGAGCAATACGGCCACCTTTACCCCCTCAGTTTATATCACCCCTGATATATGAGAGGCCTTATGCAACCCAGTAAGCTCAGTGTTTACATCAGAAGGGGGCCTCCCCTTGGTGTCACGCCGGGGCTTTCAGAAAGACAGCACTGTATGCTTGCACCTCGAAGAAGTGCAGCCACTTAGGAAAAGTACTGATCCAACCTGCAGGGGGAAAGTGACTTCTTTTCCTGTTGCTATCTGAGCAACATCTGGGCTCCTTCAATAGCAGGAGCACTATCTGGGCCATCCGATTGCTCCCCTGATCCTTGCTTAAAAGAGACTGCGGGCCGGGCATGGTGGCTCACGCCTGTAATCCCAGCACTTTGGGAGGCTGAGGCGGGCAGATCACCTGAGGTCAGGAGTTTGAGACCAGCCTGGCCAACATGGTGAAACCCCCATCTCTACTAAAAATACAAAAATTAGCTGGGCGTGCTTGCGCACACCTGTAGTCCCACCTACTTGGGAGCCTGAGGCAGGAGAATCACTTGAATCCAGGAGACGGAGGTTTGCTTGAACCCAGGAGGCAGAGGCAGAGGCAGGAAAATCACTTGAACCTGAGAGGTGGAGGCCTGAGACAGGAGAATCGCTTGAACCCAGGAGATGGAGGTTGCAGTGAGCTGAGATCATGCCACTGCACTCCAGCCTGGGCGATAAGAGTAAGACTCCGTCTCAAAAAAGTTAAAAAAAAAAAAAATTAAGAGACTACTCCTTTTCCAGGAGCTCACAGAAAAGGGATAGCACAGGAGGAGGATGATAAAAAAAAATAGGGATCAAAGGATGACCGTCCGAGAAAGGGTCACCGCAGCAGTGGCATGCACCATTAATATCTAAGCCCCTTTGGGTAGTGGCAGCTTTGCAGCCATTGTGTCTGTCCCAAACCCTGGCTCCTTGTCAGGGGGCACTGAAATCTACAGAAGAGCTGAGGAGAACACCCAGAACCACAGCTTATTCTAGGAGGGGCTTAGACCTGAGCACAAGGTCCTGCCAGCCTATAGCATCCCTGTTGCAATGAGGGAAGATCAGCGCTACAGAGCAGAAATCTGTTCTGGGAGACCTTTCCTTCCTGGCTACAGTCAGAGTGCCTGAGGCCCACCCAGCCAAAGCATACCTGTTACTATTCAAGGAGACAGCATCGCTAAGAAGGAGCATGTCTCAGAAGAAACTTCTGTTCCTCCTTGTGTTGGGATCACCCAGGTTTCATCCTGCTAGAGCACATCAGTTGGACGGGCCTCTCTATAATTGTGCTGGAGAGAATTCTATTGCTGTTTATAGTCAGACCACCCGGGACACACCTGGCCAGAATGCATCTGTAGCCTTGAGGGTTCCAACACCACACTTGTGCTTAGAGGCCCTCTTGTGTCTGCCTGCATGCAAAGCACCTGGGCTCCACCTGTTCAGAGCACATGTGTTGCAATAGGAGGGCACAGCACAACAGTGACAAAGAGTCCCCTTTCTGCACCTTATCAGAGCATTTGGGGCCCACCTGGCTAATAAACACATGTTCCCACTTTCTATCAGGCATGGGAACACATGTGGTACTGTTGGAGGGGCTGACACCATACTTGTGGTTGGAGATGCTACTGCTTATGAATCCAGTTCAGAGCACCAGGGACCTTCCAGCCCTGGGCATGGATTGGTACAGTGGGAGGGGACACCCCCATACCTGTGTTTGGGAACATTTCCATACCCACCCCATCACTCAGAGAACCTGGGATGCTTATGGCCAGAGCACATCTGTTGTAGCCAGGGGAGGGCAACATCATAAACTTAGAGGAAGACCCTTTTAGTCTCCCTTTCAGTCCAAACTCCTGGGGCGTAAGCCAGGGAGCCTACCCCTTTCGACTTTGTAGGAGCCAACATCACTGAGAAAATACTTGTGCTTCAGGTAGAGTAAATGTCCCTCTGTGGTGGGCACAGCAAATGGCAGCCTTGTCTTTGGGCCCCACCCCCGTCCCCAAGCTCCCGTCGCCTGCCCAGGTCTTCACAGAAGTTGGAAGTACTGGATTGCCAACATACTCATTTTTTTCTAGTGAAAGAACCAGGAACTCAGTGCCTAGGAAGCAAAATCTTCTTGTAGAAATGGCAGTGGGTGGTCGCCGTCCACCATGAAAGAAACTTACTCTGCTCAACCCATTCTAATTATGTCAAACTCAACCCGCTTTTCCTCCTTCTCTAGCAAGCTTGAAGTTGAGCACCTCAAAGTGCTTCTTTTTATGATGGAAGGCACGGGTTTGGATGGGGGTTCATCAGAGGTCAATACCCCGGTTTGAGAAGGTCCACTGTGGGGAGGAAAGAGAGACTTGTAAGTACCAACTGTGCTCCACTCTGGTTTTGTCTGTAAGCCTGAAGACCCAAGCTCTGGGACAGTTTCCTTCTAGTCTTGGGACTGGTAGCACCTCTGGCAACTCCCACCCCGCGGCTGGCAAGCTGTTCCTTTTCTCTTAACCCATTTGTCTCCATGGTCCTTTTACTTGCTTTTCCGGATTAAATATCTAAAGCTGCCTTCATGTTAATGAGTCGTCTGCTCTGGGTCTTCACTTTTAGGCCAGTCTAGAAGGAGGGATGATGCCTTCTATAAATGGTGACAGGTTGAGCCAGACTTGACATTTCCAAATTTTCTGTGGCTCAGCTAATGTGATATGGAAGTAGCACGCTCTAGGACTGTTTGTGCTAACTTCTGACGTCTCCATGGAGAGTGTGAGGATATCAGCCCAGGAGGAGGCGAGGTCTAGAGAAAGAGAGACCAGGAAATGCCCTTGCCACCTCCCTCTGTGCTTCCTCTGCACCATCTGACCTCCCCGAAGGTCAGATCCTCCCTGCTGTGTGACAGGAAACCACACTTTATGGTTTTAGTCTTTTAAAAATGTTTGAATTATCTTTTCTGTGTCTTTTTTAAAAAAAAAATTAGATTGGAGCCAGGAATTCCACCGTGAAATAAAAATAAAACCCTGAGTCCAGGTGAGGTGGCTCACGCTAGTAATCTCAGCACTTTGGAAGGCCGAGGGAGGTGGATCACCTGAGGTCAGGAGTTTGAGACCAGTCTGGCCAACATGGTGAAACCCCATCTCTACAAAAATGCAAAAATTACCCGGGCATGGTGGCATGTGCTTATAATCGCAGCTGCTCGGGAGGCTGAGGCAGAATTGCTTGAACCCGGGAGGCGGAGGTTGCAGTGAACCAAGATCTTGCCACTGCACTCCAGCCTGAGTGACAGAGCAAGACTCCATCTTAGAAAAATAAATAAACAAATCAATAATAAAACCCTGAGCCCTCTGATTGACTGAAAGGACCCCTCTTGGCCAAGGCGACCCCAGAAAAACTAAAAACTAAGTTTCCTGGCCATAAGGAGACGAGAAATTGCGCCTCCGTATACCACTTCCTTACTAACTGTTACCAGGTTTTTTGTTTGTTTGTTTGTTTGTTTGTTTTTCCTAAATTAAACAGAAACCAGCCCTGGAAAAACAAAGAATGGAACACCCCACCGCTGACTTCAACCAACTGCCTGCTGCTGCGGCCTGACTCCCAACCCTTTTTGCTATTTTGACGTGACAAACTGACCAGCCTACAAAGTATTCAACCATGGACTGGTTCTGGCTGGTTCACCAAGGCTGTGTACAAAGTGCCTTCATGCCCTGTGTTTCACCTTTTAACATACAGAGCCTAATTTTACTGCATTTAATGTTATATCTCCATGCGAAGGTAAACATGGGATGTATGTAACACATATGTTTGCTTATCAAGCACATATATGACCCCCTTTCATGAATATTCATAGTTCCCCCTGTGACCTGTTGGATATGTCTATTTAGCCAACCTGTTTGGCATAAAACTCCTATCCCACCCTTTCTCCCTCAGAGTACCTGTTTGTGGTCTCTGCTGGAGGTGTCACTTTCCAGAGCCTGCAGTTTGCAATGCTTCTCAAGAAATAAAGTCCTCCTTTCCAAGTTTACGGGTCTCATATTTTAAGTTGACACCCTCAAGTTGGTGCTTCACATGGAGAGGATAGGCTTGGCATCCAGGCTCTTGGGCCTGCAAGAACAATGAAAGAAAGAGCTCATGCCACTGGGTAATTATGGAAACATTTTAAGTCTAGGATAAAATATATGACTCAAAAGTTATCATACTCCTTTAAAAAGTCCTACAAAAAATTATTTTCAGGCCGGGCGCAGTAGCCCATGCCTGTAATCCCAGCACTTTGGGAGGCCAAGGAGGGTGGATCACCTGAGGTCAGGAGTTCAAGACCAGCCTGACCAACATGGTGAAATCCTATCTCTACTAAATATACAAAAAATTAGCTGGGTGTGTTGGTGGGTGCCTGTAATCCCACCTACTCAGGTGTCTGAGGCAGGAAAATTGCTTGAACCCGGGAGGCAGAGGTTGCAGAGAGCCACGATCGCGCCACCGCATTATAGCCTGGGCAAGAAGAGTGAAACTCCATCCCAAAAAGAAAAAAAAGAAAGAAAAATAAATTATTTTCAAGTAAGTACCTGGATTGGGCCTATGTGGGAAAAGATCCAGTTTGTCCCTATTTAAACCACTAAAATCTCAAATTGCAAAAGTTGCCGCTCCACCCAACTCATGGCTGATCATAGAGCCAGGCCGAGTCTAAACTAGATTTCATTGTTGAAAACTCAATACTTTCTAAGGCATTTTATAACCCAGGAAAACCACCTTCAGATGGAGGAAAGAGGGAAAACCCAAGAATTTCTGCCAGCTTCTTACGTATTATTTTATTAAACATTTACTTAGTGATGAACCTGCACTAGACACTGTGCTAGTCACTGGTGAGATGCGGTTCAAAGACATATCGTGACCTACAAGAACTTATAGTCTAGTAGGAGAGACAGACGCAAACCAAAAATTTAAACAGGACTTCGTGCTAGGGATCGGAGAGCAGGTAAGAAAGACATAGTATTAAATACGGGAGAGAAGGAACTTTAATTGTACCTCAAGAAGTAGTAGGAAGCCTCTAGGTAGAGCAAGGCTTTTTTCACATCAAGGAAATATTATGTGAAAAGTCAAGGAAGCCAGAGAGGCTGTGAGCCTGTGGGACACCAGGAAGGTAGTCAGGTGCAGCTGGAGAATGAAGTCAAGCCTGGGGTATACAGCTGTAATGATCAGCAGGGGCCAGATAACGGACAAATTAATGTATCATGATGGGCACTTGTCAGTCATGCTGAAGGTATGCAGAGTCATGAAAGCAGTGAAAGCAAAGAAGTGAAATGATGATATGTAGATTTTAGAAACATTCTTGTACTTCCTCGGAAGGAAGAATCCAATGGGTGGCAGAACAGAGGTAAAGGGGCTTCGGGGGTTCTTTGCATGATCAAAGCAAAGACGAGACAATGAGCTCCTGTTCCAGAGGAGCTGAGAGTGGCTGGAGAGGAAGTAACAGAAGAGGGAAGGCAGTGAGATGAGTAACTGCCACACACGACCAGGGCGACTCTAGCCACTTGGCTTAGACAAATGGACATGTGTTGTTTTGGTAGGGTGAGTTCAGCTTTTAATAGTGTTCAGTTTTTAATAGTGTGAAACCCTGTGGATGAATCAGTAATATTCAGAAGGCAGTTGACTCATTTATGTGTCAATTTGCCATATTTATTGAGCATCTGGGATGAACTGGGACCTATTATAAGTAGTAGAGCTTACATTCGAGTTGAGGGGGGCGGAGAAAATAAGCAACAATCTCAATGACACGTAAATCATGTGGCAGTTTAGCTGGTAACACGTTATGAAGAATAAAATTGCCGATGGAGGTTTGACACTTGAAGTAAGGAGAAGCAGCAGTCTCAATGTTCACGTGGAAGACAGGACAACCTCACTAGGAAGGTGAGTTTTGAGCAAGGTCTAGAAGGGGGCCATCAAGTGACCGACGCAGACGTGTGAGGGAAGAACACTGGAAATAGCGGAAGTAGCCACTGCAAAGGATCGAAGGGAGGATGGGTGGCATCCTCGTGGAGCAGTCAGTAAGCTGATGGGGCTGTGGTCAGCACGAGAGAGAGTAGGGGCAAGGAGACCAGAGAGGGATGGGGACACACAAAATAGGGAGGGCCTTGTAGGTTGTCATCATAAACTGATGACATCCTCAGAGATGGGAATGACTGGAGGGCTTAAAGCAAAGGACAGCATCATCTGCCATAGGTTTTAAGCAGATGATTTTGGTTGCTTGGATGAGCACGGAGGCTGAGAGACCAGTCAGGAGGCTGAGCCCCTAAGGTGGAGGGTAATGATGGCTTGGACACAGCAACACCAGTGGGGGGCATGAGAAGTGGATTTGCACATTCACTTTAGATTGTGTACATGTAGCAAAGTATTGTGGAATTGAATGATGGGAGTGTGTATGAGAGAAAGGGTCCAGGAATTTGCTGTTCTGGGCAGGGGGAGATTTTTTCTCATTAATGAATACTTGATCACAGGGACTATGGAAGCAAATCACACAGATGGCATCCAAAAATAAGAAGGGAAGGTTGGGCTCAGTGGCTCATGCCTGTAATCCCAGCACTTTGGGAGGCCAAGGCGGCGGATCGCTTGAGCCCAGGAGTTTAAGACCATTCTGGGCAACATGGCACAACTCCATCTCTATAAGAAGATACAAAAAATTAGCCAGGCATGCGCCTATAGTTCCAGCTACTCAGGCTGAGGCAGGAGGATCATTTGAGCCCAGGAGTTGGAGGTTGTAGTGAGCCATGATTGTGCCACTGCACTCCAGCCTGAGTGGCAGCAAGACCCTGTCTCAAAAAAAATAAGAAGGGAGAAAACAGAGGAATGATGGATGGACTCCTCCTCTTTCTCCTCCTCAAACATGCAGTCGAGATCTAAGATCATTGGTTGTGTGTATGGGAGAAATGCTGACATCCTCACCTCAGGCTATTATGAAAACAAATTCCAGATGGATTCAAAGAACAAGATTTTCAAAAAATTATAAATGTCTTAGAACAAAATGTAAGAGACCCTGATTAATCCCTTGGGCTACAAAGGAGTTTTTAAGAATAAAACGATTATAAAATAAGATACTGAGAAATGAGATTGCATCAAAAGAAAATTTGTTATCTGGAAACCATAAACGAGATTAACAAAAAACCCATAGATTTAAAATGTTTGCCCCAAATGTATTTAATTCAGAAAATAAATAGGCAAACCATAAGCTATAAACTGGGAAAATTATTGGCAAAACATTTATCTAGCAAAGGACAAGTGTGCAAGATCTATAAAGAACTCCTACAAGTCAACTACAAAATGCCCAGTCACATAATAAATGGGCAAAATACTTGAACAATTCTCCTATAAAGAAACATCATAAAACAAGCACATGTAAAAGTATTCAACATCATTCGTCATTAGAGAAATGAAAATTTAAAACACCACTACACAGCCACCAAAATGGATAAAGTTTAAAAGGTATCCAACCCAGGTATCCAAATGTTGGCAGGCATATGGAGTACCTGGAACTCTTCTTCATTTCTGGAGAGAATATAAAATTGTAAAACCACTTTGGAAAAAAGTTCATATGGTTTCTCAGAAAACACACATATATCTAGTCTGACTGAGCAATTTCATTCCTAAGTATTAACCTGAGAGAAATAAAAACACATGGACACAGAATCACTTGTACCAGAAAAGTTCACAGGAGCCTTATTCATAATATGTAAAACTTGGAAGTATCTCAGATGTCTATTTATATAGAAAGCAAAAACAAACCATGGTGCATTCATACTCGGATATCAAGATGAATGAATTCCTGATAACAGGCAACAACACGGATGGATCACAGAAACATGATGCTGAATGAAAGACACCTTAAGGCTTAAGAACAGTGCATAATGTATGCTCCCATTTATGTGAAATTATAGAGCAGCTCAAACCTGTAATGAAAACAGTTCCTGCAGCATTGAAGAGAGGGATGTCTTCATTCATTTTTGTGTTGCTATAAAAGAATACCTGAGACTGGGTAATTTATAAAGAAAAGAGGTTTCTTTGGCTCACAGTCCTGCAGGCTATATAAGAAGGATGATGCCAGGATCTGCTTCTGGTGAAGAGGAGCTGGCATGTGCAAAGATCGCTTGGCAAGAGAAGAAATGAGAGAGGAGGGGAGGAAGGTGCCAGGCTGTTTTTAACGATCAGCTCTTGCAGGGCTTAATAGAGTGAGGACTCACTCATCACTGTGAGGAAAGCTCCAAGACATCATGGGGGCTCCAACCCCATGACCTAAACACTTCCCATCAGGCTCCACCTCTAACACTGGGGATCACATTGCAACATGAGATTTGGAGAGGTCACACAAACCAAACTATAGCACGGGGGAGTCGGATGTGGGGGGTCAGGGCAGCCCCTCCCATAAGTGACCTCACAGGGCAAAGATCTGAGCTGTTGTCTCCCTGTGCTGACCAATCTGCTCTGGAGAAGGGGGATCTGACTGATCTGACGGGATCAGGGTCCCACTGTCCCACACATGAGTCCCAGGAGTTGGAGTTTCATCGCACATGAACTTCTCATCAGGGTATATTGCAGCAGATGCTCTGACAAGGTCTGCATGTTATCGAGCCTTCTCTGCATCTAAGCTTACTTGCTGCTTTGCCTTTCTTCCTGCCTTACCCCCTGCCCAGCACCCCCACTGCTTGCCTTCCTATTATCCACCATACCCTTTCCTTAACATTAATCTTTTCTAAATTAATTATCTAAAATATATTACAAACTAATAGGAACAAAAGTTTTGGAGATGGAGAGTGGCGATAGATGTACAACAATATAGATGTACTTATTGCCAGTGAATTGTACATTTAAAAATGTTAAAATGGTAAATTTTATGTTGTGTATACACAATGTGAAACCATTATGTTATGTAAGTGAGTCCAGCCACAAAGAACCACATAGTCTATCTCTGCCCCAATTATCTTCGATTTCATCTAGTGCAATAGCAATTGCCTATAAAACAATCAATGACGTTAGCATGACGTGACTGCCTTTGCATCAAATGTTTTTTGTTTTTTTTTTCAGATGAACCTTTTGGAGGTAAAATTTATGTGAAAAATGCATCTGTTTTATGTTTGCTCAGTTTTAACAAATGTGTACACTCAAGGACTCACCATAATTCAGGTATAGACCATTTCCATCATCCTAAAAAATCCCCTTATGCTCCTTTGTTGTTAGTTCCTCCACATATCTAACCACAAACAACCATTTATCTGCTTTCTGACATTTCATATTAATCTTGCTATTTCTAAAATTTGTTATACACAGAATCAGAGTATGTAGTTTTGGGTGTGGGTGCTTGTTGATAAGCATGATGGCTTTGAGATGTGTCTATGTTGTTGGATAAACGTCAAGTTCATTGTATACTCTATTTCCCAGTAGTACCCCGTGTTCACAGTGGCATCATCCACAATAGCCAAAAGCTGGAAGCAACCCAGGTAACCAGCAATGTAGGAATCTGGAAACAAAACATCCAATGGCATATTATTCAGCCTTAAAAGGAAGGAAATTCTAATACATGCTACAATATGGATAAAACCTGAAAAAAAAACTATGCCAGGTAAAAAAATCTGGACATGGAAGGACAAATGTATCGTTCTACTTATATGATATACCTGGAATAGGCAAATTCATAGAGACAGAATAGAGGTTACCAGAGCTGTGGGGAATGTGCACTGGAGAGTTATTGTTTAATAGGTGCAGAGTTTCAACTTAGGATAATGAAAAAGTTCTGGATATGAATAGTGGCGATGGTTGTATAACAATATAAATGTAGTAAATGCCAGTGAACTATACATTTAGAAATTGTAAAAATGGTAAATTTTGTGTTATGTATACACCATATAATACCATTATAATATATGAATGAATCCAGCCAGAAAGAACCACATAGTCTATGATTTCATACAGGAAATATCCAGAGTAGGTAAACTCGTAGAGAGAGAAAGTCGATTAATGCTTGCCTAGAACTGGGAGGTGTGGTGGTATTAGAAGGTGATGGCTAAGGTGTACAAAATTTCTTTTTGGAGTGATGAATATTTTACCAAATTGTGTTGATGGTTGTACATTTCTGTGAATACACTAATAGCCATTGAATTCTATACTTTTTTTTTTTTTTTTTTTGAGACGGAGTCTCGCTCTGTCACCCAGGCTGGAGTGCAGTGGCGCGATCTCGGCTCACTGCAAGCTCCGCCTCCCGGGTTCACGCCATTCTCCTGCCTCAGCCTCCCGAGTAGCTGGGACTACAGGCGCCCACAACCGTGCCCGGCTAATTTTTTGTATTTTTAGTAGAGACGGGGTTTCACCGTGGTCTCGATCTCCTGACCTTGTGATCCGCCCGCCTCAGCCTCCCAAAGTGCTGGGATTACAGGCGTGAGCCACCGCGCCCGGCCGAATTCTATACTTTAAATATGTGGATTGTATTGTACATGAATTATCTCTCAAAAAAGCTATTAGAAAAGAATCAGCTGATACAATTTGTCCCAAAAGTTGTGAACAAACTAATTGAAAAAAGCTAACATTCTGTTCAAAAAAATCTTTCAGTAAAGTAGGAAGTGGACGGAATTTCCTTATTTCTTTTATGTGACAATGCATGCATTGAAGAAAAAAAAACCTTCAGTTAACAGCATACTGAATATTTCCCCCCAAGATCAGGAAGTAGAAAATGAAGTCCATTGACTTCTCTTGGATTCAATATTGTATTGGAGGTTGTAACAAATGTAGAGGATAAGAAAAATTAAAATCATACAGGAAAAGATAAAATTACTCAATGCGCAGAAATCATGATTGTGTATGCAGAAAATCCTATGCCATCTACAAAGAAATTATAAAAAGTAAGGTGTGAATTTAGCAAGGTGCCAGTATACAAGATCAATATATATAAAACAATTATTTTTCTGTAAACTACCATATACCAATACATGTATGAATGTGTGTGTTTGTTTGTGTGTGTGTGTGTGTGTATCAGCTGGTAGAGTGAAGAATTAATATTGGTAAGTTGTCCATTTCAGCCAGAATCCAGAAAGCTGGTCTATGGCAGCAGTCCCCAACCTTTTTGGCACCAGAAACTGGTTTCGTGGAAGAAAATTTTTCCATGGGTAGTGGGGAGATGGTTTTGGAATGAAACTATTCTCAGGCATTAGATTCTCATAAGGAATGTGAAACCTGGATCCCTCGCATGCGCAGTTCACAGTAGGGTTCGCACTCCTATAAGCATCTAATGCCGCTGCTGATCTGACAGGCGGCGGAGCTTAAGCGGTAATACCCGCTCACCTGCCATCACCTCCTGCTGTGCGACCCAGTTCCTAACAGGCCACAGCCAGTACTGGTCTGGAATTGCTACAAGACATATTGGCCTTATATGACTTTTTAAGACAGCATGGATCTTGCACCTACCTGATCTGTATCTCATGTCCTTGCGCTTGGGGAGAGATCACGCACAGATAGCTGTGTGGTTGGCTGCAAGGTTAAATGAGAAGAGAAATGCCTGATGGTGTTAATGCTGACAGTTGTTGGTTTCTGCAAATGTAAAGGTAAGAAAGAGAAAGAAAAAGGCATGCAGATTAAAACAGAAGTTAAAGTAGCTTTATTCACATAAACATGATTCATAGAAAACAAAGATGCTACCAGAATTCAAAAGTGAATTTACCAAGGTCTCAGTATACAAGTCAATACGTATTTTTAAAATGTATTTTCTGTATACCATTGATGAATGATTGAAAACTAAAATTGGGATGAAACCATTTACAGTAGTGTTTACAACTCACATAAAATACTTAGGAATAAATTAACAGAAGCTGTGCAAGTTCGATTCACAGAAAACTACAAAACCGTGGTTACAAATTTTCTCTTAAAAATTCAGATAGTAAATATGGCGTTATGGGTTGCTTATGGTTTTTTCCACATATTCTCGTTTTTATATTTTTAGCTTCTCAAATTTTTCTTTTTCTTTGAGACAGAGTTTCGCTCTTGTTGCCCAGGGCTGGAGTGCAGTGGCACGGTCTTGGCTCACTATAACCTCTGCCTCCCAGTCCAAGCAATTCTCCTGCCTCAGCCTCTCGAGTAGCTGGGATTACAGGCGCCTGCCACCACACCCAGCTAATTTTTTGTATGTTTAGTAGAGATGGGGTTTCATCATGTTGGCCAGGCTGGTGTTGAACACCTGACCTCAGGTGATCCACCCGCCTCGGCCTCCCAAAATGCTGGGATTACAGGCATGAGGCACTGCACCTGGCCAAAAATGTTAACACTGTATTTAGTCACTGGCCTTACAAAAATAGTTCCGGGGCCAATTAGCTTGTTGATCTTGCTACAAAATATTGTTGAGAGAAAATCTTAAATCTTAAAAGACCTAAATATATGGAGACATATATCATGCTCCTGTACTGGAAAAGTTAATATTGATAAATTGTCAATATTGACTAGGATTCTGAAAAGTCTTTCTAAAAAAAGAGACAGGGCCAGGTGCAGTGGCTCATGTCTGTAATCCCAGCATTTTGGGAGGCCAAGGTGGGTGGATCACCTGAGTTCAGGAGTTCAAGACCAGCCTGGACAACACTGTGAAACACCATCTCTACTAAAAATACAAAAATTAGCTGGGCGGTGTGGTGGGTGCCTGTAATCCCAGCTACTCAGGAGGCTGAGGCAGGAGGATTGCTCGAACCCAGGAGGCAGAGGTTGCAGTGATTGTACCACTGCACTTCAGCCTGTGCAACAGAGTAAGACTCCATCACAAAAACAAAACAAAACAAAACAAAAAAGACAGGGTCTCGCTCTGTTGCCCAGGCTGTAGTGCAGTTGTGTGATCATAGATCACTATAACCTCATACTCCTGGGCTCAAGTGATCCTCCCACCTCAGCCTCCTGAGTAGCTGGGACTATAGGCGTATGCCACCATGCCCAGCTAATTTAATTTTTTTTTTTTTTGTAGAGACAGGGTTTTACTATGTTGCTCAGGTTGGTCTCAAACTCCTGGTCTCAAGCATTTCTCCTGCCTCGGCCTCCCAAAGTGTTGAGATTACAGGCAGGAGCCACTGTGCCCTGCCATAAAGCTTTTAAATCAGCATGAATCCTGTGCCCACCTGATGTACCATCTCCCGTCCTTGGCTTTGGGAGAAGATAGGCCACAGACACCTTCATGGTTTGCTGCAAGCTCAATGAGAATAGAAATGCCCAATGGGGATTTGCCTGTGAACAGCAGTCCCAGGTCATCTTCAGAGGAGACCAAGGCCCCATTGTGGCCAATGGCCAAGATCTGAGTTGAACCAAAAAGGAAAGACTTCCTGGTGGGCCACGTTAAGTGTTCGTTACATGTGTGCCATGGCCTAAGGACAATAGAAAACGGTAATATATGATGTGTGCATAAATAGAGTCAGACAGCCTGGGTCAAATCCTGGCAGGGTCACTACCAGGGACTAGGACTTAAACGCTGTTTTACCAAATTTGTAGAAACAAGCGAAGAGAGCCTGCCTCCCAGGAAGAGATGAGGTTGGGTGCAGCATCCAGGCAGGTCAGACCACAGGTTTCCCTTCTCAGAAACCTTCACAGCCCAGCAGGTCACGTCCCAGGCTCAAGTCTCTCCAGGGCGGCCACAGAGAAGGCTCCTGACACCAGGACTTGGAGAGGTGATCAGAAAGGAGCATGAAGGAGGTGGTGGCCTGAGGAGGGGAGAGGGGAATCTGATGTCATCAGCAGCAGCTGCCTGAAAGGAAGAGGGTCCAGCCTTGTGTGCTCCATATTTGCACCCCATGATAGCCTCTCCTCCTCACCTTAGCACCTGCTGCAGCTACCTGGCCTCTTGGGTACATCATTCAGATTGGGAACCAGTACAGTCCTCTTCCCTCCCCAGCTCCCTCTCCCACACCTGGCACTTCCAGTGAACCTGGTGCTGGGAAGACCTGGGCTGCTTCTGTACTCTGGCTCTGAGCAGGCGCTGCCTTCCAGTGACCCCAGGATACACCCGCACTGCTTGCAGAAGCTACGGTCTGGGCCAGGCTTCGCGGAGCCTGCAGACCTGGCTGCTGGTGCCCAGCAGCTGCAGTCCTGAGCAGTGCTCACATCGCGCAGGGGCCGGTCTGGGTCTAAACAGCCGATACCCGGTAAGCGGAATCCCGAAGCTCGAGAGTCCCTGCTGGGGCTGGACCGTTGGACCTCGCGCTTTGCCCTCTGCGGCATTTCTTCCAGCCCTGGCCTCGCGCACCCTTCCTCTCCACGCGTTCCAACGGCGGCTCAACTGCATCGGGCTGAACGGGGTGTGCAGAGCACAGGCTGCTCTTCACGGGCAACCTCTTCTGCAAGCTTCATACGCGCCCCTCGCCCCCCGCCAGTGCCCCCAGTGTTCCCCATCTGGTCTGGATCGCCTCGGGGTCCCGGCACAGAGCTCTCCTCGACCTTGCTCGCCCAGGTTTACTGCAGTCCCGCGCCGTTTCGGTCGGACATCACCGCTAGGAGGCGGTGTCTGATTCCGCAGGCTCTGGGCTCCTCTCTAGGGTTCTTACCTTGAATGTGTGCGGGACTCTGTCGAGTGTGGAGGTCTCAGGAGCTACTGCTTGGGTGGTCAGCTGAATATCTTGGAATGGTAGAGTCCTCCTCCAGGCTGCAAATGACTCCTTTCTGTTTGGGGTTTGAGCAGTTAGTGACCTCTACGAGGCTGGCCTATCCCGTCCTCCCCTCCATCCTTGTCTCAGGAAGACTGAGTTGAAGTCCCCAGGAAAGTGCAGGAAAGGAAAAGCTAAGGCAGAGGGAAAAAGTAGCAAAGGAAGGATGATTAGAGAAGCGCTGCCCCCTCACCCTCATAACAGCGGGAGTGTCTGGAAGAACAACGGTGTCATCTTGTGGTCACTTCCTTCCAGTGCAGTCCTGGACCCCTGAAAGGAAGCCTCTGTTCGAAACACCCAGAAGACACCTTGAGTAAGAAAGCCCAAACATCTTCTCTGAGCCCATTTGCCAAAGGCAGTGGCATCGCCAGCTGATACAGACCTCTTTGGAGGTCTGCTGTGGGTTCAGCAGGGCTGTCCCGTCCAGTCTTATCTGCGCTCTGCTACTGGAGAGGTGGACGAAGGAAAATGTTGATGGAGGCCATTCACCCAGATCTTCAGCCTCACTAAAGCCAGGCAAGACACAGGGAGAAGAAGTTTCCAGACACTCTCTGTCAAGAAGGAACTTTCCAAACACATCTGACAGCTGTAAGCTCTGTAACCCCAAATTCCAGTACTCCTGCTGCTGCCACTGCCACTATTGTTGGGTGGAGGAGAGCTGCCCCTGCCCCCTACCTTCCCTGTGTACTCACTGCTGAAGACCTAGGCTTGGAGAAGAAAGGTGAGCACCAGTGGAGCCCCAAGGTGTTGGAGGATAAAACTGAGGCCCCTTCAGACAGCAGGGCCACTCAGCCCGTCTGCTCTTTCTTCTTTTCTGCTGAGAAAATTTCAGACTTCCTGACTGTGGCCACTTTCATCATGTGGATCCTGGCTCCTGCTTCATTAGTAGACACGGATTCAGCTGACCTGTCTGCCAGACCCTCCGATCCTGACTGCCCCTGTTCTTACCCCACCATGAGATATTGATCATGAAATGAGATGCCCAAATTATAATTCTCCTTTCACCATTCTTGCTGAATCTCCTTCTCCCTTTAGGATTAATAACAATTGTTAGTCCAAGTTGCATTATTTTGCAAGCCCCTGCCATTTTACAGACCCTGGTCAGAGTGAAACATTCCATGGGGCCCTGGGCTGTGAGAAACATCCTGCCCAGCCACATGACTTCCTTATCACATCCTGCTGGGCAAAGGCCCAAGGAACATCTTTATCAACATCCTCCCGGGCAGCAAGCCATACGGCCCAGACCCCTCCTGCCCAGGCCTGTAATTACCCCAGCCTGTAAGCGGCAGTGAGCTCTGGCACTAAGCTGGTCCCCTCTCTGCAAGTCGTACTGGCAATAAACCTGTGTTGCTGTAGAGCCACCAACTCTCTCTCTCTCTCCCTCCCTTCAAAACCTAACAATAATAATGATAGAATAACAATAAGGCAAACCACCCAATTAAAAAAACTGGGCAAAACATTTGGACAATAATCCCTTTCCAAAAGTTGATTCAGAAATGTTCAGTAAGCCCATCAAAAATGCTCAACATTATTAATCATCAGGGAAGTTTAAGTGAAAACCACACTGAGATTCCATTGCTCATCCACCAGAATGCCTGTAGAGGTGTGAAGCACCTGGAACACTTCTTACTTTACAATAATATAAAATGGTACAATCACATTGAGAAAATGTCATAAAACTTATTATAAAAGTAAATATACACTTATTCTTACTCAGCACTTCCATTCAGAATTATTTCCTTGAGAGAAATGAAAATGTGGAACACTTCTCATTGTAATGATAATATGAAATGGTACAACCACATTGAAAAAATGTCATAGAACTTACTGTAAAACTAAACATATACTTATTCTTACTCAGTGCTTCCATTCTGAATTATTTCCTCAAGAGAAATGAAAACATGGAACATTTCTCATTGCAATGATAATATGAAATGGTTGAATCACATTGAAAAAATATCATAAAACTTACTATAAAACTAAACATACACTTATTCTTACTCAGCACTTCCATTCTGAGTTATTTCCTCAAGAGAAATGAAAACATATGTACACAATAAGGCTTGCATGACACAAAAAGCCTTGCATAGTAGGCAAAATTCTTAAAAGCCTTATTCATAATAAGCACAATCTGGAAATATCCCTGATACCAATCCACATGAGAATAGAAAAAGAAATTATGAAGTATTCGTATTACTCAGCTATCAAAGAAAATAACCCCTGATGACAGACAAGAAAAGTCAAAAACTACAACATTCTGCTAAGTGAAAAGAATCCTTGCACAGGAATGCATACTGCATGTCCCTATTTATATGAGAAGCTAGGACAACCAAAACTAACCTATCCTGGGACAATCCCTGAAGAATTGGAGAGGATTGACTGAACCTAGAGGTGCAACTGGATCACAGCAGTGAGCAAATCAGGGCCTTGGGTCGAAGTCAAAATACAGAGCTACATCTCTAAATATAAACCATTTTATTTGGGAAGTGAAAATTGCAATTCAGGGCATACAGCTGGGCAGCCTTTTAGAAGAACAAATAGAAGGTTAGAGGTTTCATTAAAAAGAGCAAAGACAATTTGTTTTGCAAAGACAATTCACTGGCACTAGTAAAGTTTTGGGGAGCTGGCAAGCTAGGATTGGTAAGTGATAGCAGTGGGTGAAAGTAGTCATAGAGTCCAGCAGGTTGTTTCAGAAACTACTACATAAAACTGTTTTTGGGTTACAGCAGGCAATTTCAGCAGCTAGGCTGGCATAGAATTACCTGCTTGGCATGCCCTGAGTGTGTTTTCTCCTCATGGCCTTCCAATTCTGTTTTAGTTGGGTATAACAAGAATGGCTCAATTTATATAATCAACTTTCATACTTGCCAGCTGCAGGAAGCCAGGGCATCCTACCCATAAATGACTCTCTCTCCAAGGGCTGAGCTGTTCTCTTCCTGTGCTGACAAACTGCTCCAGGGAAAGGGGATCTGGCTGATCCAACATGGGTCAAAGTCCCACAGTCCAGGTATATGTCCCAGAAGGTGGAGGGTTCTCATGGTCCATGGACTTTCCTTCAGAGAATGGTGGAATTGCTCTGAGAAGGGCTAGTGATTTTTACCCCTGTGTTCACCATGCCTTTTCTGCACACAAGAGTGCTTGTGTCTTTGCTCTCTTCTTACTCTGCTCCTCCCCGCTGACCATCTTCCCGTTCTCTGCCATGCCCCTATCTTAATATTGTTTTTTAAATGAACCTTTTTCATGTTTAAAAACTATTACAACAGTTATAAAGAAAATCTGGCCTTCTCTGCCATTATTATGGCCAATTTCATCTGTGTAGCAAAACCTTTTCGTAAAACAATGATTTTAGAATGATATTCTTTCTACCTTTGCTTTGTTTTTTTCAAATCAAGTTTTGGAGGTAAAATTCAAGTAAAATAAAATGTATTCATTCAGTAAGTTTTGACAAATGCATGCTCATAAGCACCTAACAAGGTAATTAAGATACAGATATAAGAATATTCGATCTCCTCAAAATTTCCTTTTGCCCCTTCCCTCTCAATCCCTCCATATATCTAGCCCCAAACAAACATTGATCTATGACCATTGATCAATAGATCAAACAACCACTTATCTATTAAACATTATAAATTATGGTCAGGCACGGTGACTCACACCTGTAATCCCAGCACTTTGGGAGGCCGAGGCGGGCGGATCATGAGGTCAGGAGACTGATACCATTCTGGCTAATATGGTGAAACTCCGTCTCAACTAAAAATACAAAAAATTAGCCAGGCATGGTGGCAGACACCTGTAGTCCCAGCTACTCAGGAGGCTGAGGCAGGAGAATCGCTTGAACCCGGGAGGCAGAGGTTGCAATGAGCCAAGATCGTACCGTTGCACTCCAGTCTGAGCGACTCCGTCTCAAACAAAACAAAACAAAACAAACAAACAAACAAAAAGAAACATTATAGATTAATTTTGCCATTTCTAGAATTTCATGTAAATTGACTCATGTAGTCTTGCATGTGTGTGTGTGACCATGCTCTCTTTTTGGTCAGCATGCTGACTTTTAGATTAATCTGTGTCGTTGCATAAATCCATGGTTCGTTCCATCTTACTTTTTAGTGGTAACCCATTGTATGGATATGCCAGTGTCTGTTTACCCATTTTGCTGGCGGGGAGGGGTCAACTGGCAGAGGAGGCTGCCCCAGCATCACAAAGCAGATTATAGAATCTTGGGGGTCCAGTGACAATACGTAAGTTTTCAACATGATGTGCAACTTTAGCTATTTCCTGTAACCGTGGGGTTTTGTTTGTTTGTTTGTTTGTTTATTTTGGTGAGCTGTTTTCTTTTGCAATTTACTTTGCAAACTCATTTAGGAGTTTCCTCTTCTATCTGGAAGTTATTCATAAATGTTAAAAAATTTCCAAGTGAGTGAAGCTTTTTGGAAATTTTTTTCATTATCTGCTACTATTTACTGAATTGTGATGAGGGGATATAAATTATAGTCTCTACTTTGTAACTTCATTAAGTATTTACTTTGGGCAATGGATATACCTGAACTTTGTATGTTCCTGAGACTCAGTGAGTGCATAACCTGATATATAGACCAGAGTATCTACACATATATTACATTGGTCTTGAGTTACTCACATTCTCTATGTCCTTGTTTAATTTTGTTTCACTAGACTTGTTAAATTCTGACACAGGCAATTTACATAGTCCAGTATAATCCATTTTTTTTTCTCAAGCTCAATTCGTATTTTCTTTTTTTTTTTTTTTTTTGAGACAGAGTCTTGCTCTGTCACCCAGGCTGGAGTGCAGTGGCCAGATCTCGGCTCACTGCAACCTCCGCCTCCCAGGTTCAAGCGATTCTCCTGCCTCAGCCTCCCGAGTAGCTGGGACTACAGGCACCTGTCAACATGCCCAGCTAATTTTTTGTATTTTTAGTGGAGACGGGGTTTCACCGTGTTAGCCAGGATGGTCTCGATCTCCTGACCTCGTGATCCACCCGCCTCGGCCTCCCAAAGTGCTGGGATTACAGGCGTGAGCCACCGTGCCTGGCCCTCAATTCATATTTTCAATGGGGAGTAGACTGCACTTGCTCACCTGAATCACAGACTCCAAATTTAGGAACAGCTTTAGATGATGCCAGTCCTAACTCACACCGCCTCCAGCATGGGTCCTCCAGATTCAGCTTCACTTTGCCCAGTGAAATGCTCATCCCAAAATGAGTATCTGGAGTGGTATAGAAAACAGTTTTTAGGCTGGGTGTGGTGACTCACACCTGTAATCACAGCACTTTGGGAGGCCGAGGTGGGTGGATCACCTGAGGTCAGAAATTCGAGACCAGCTTGACCAACATGGTGAAACCCCATCTCTACTGAAAATATAAAATTAGCCAGGTGTGGTGGTGCACCACCTGTATCCCAGCTACTTGGGAGGCTGAGGCAGGAGGATCACTTGAACTGGGAGGCAGAGGTTGCAGTGAGCTGGGATCGCGCCACTGCACTCCAGCCTGGGCAACAGAGCGAGACTCCATCTCAAAAAAAAACAAAAACAAAAAACAAACAAACAAAAAACGGAAACAGTTTTAAAAGATAGGATTCTTCAGATGTTTTAAATAATATTTTATGCAGTTTTTCTAGATTTTCCTGCAGGAGAGTCGGTCTGATAACTAGCCTGTCATTTCCAGAAGTGAAAGCAGTGGTATGCTGTGAAATTTGTAACTGTTCCTTTAGGGAAAATAAATTTTTAATTTGTAGCCTTTATTGATTTGCATGCTGTAAATGCTCTCACCATGGTTGATTTTGAGTAACCAATGTGACATCATTGAACACAACGTTGAGAATATCACATGCTGGTACAGTCAAGCTCTGACGCACCAAACAGTTGATATCTCATCCCGGGTGGTTTTGTTCTGTCTTCTCCAGTACATTATGAAAATGAGTATTATCTCTCCCTAATTCTAGTGGAGTCGTAATTAGGGAAAAGGATTCAGGCTGGCAGGACCAGGGGGAAGCAAAGAGATAAAGCAGAGAAGCAAGATAAGCTACAGGTCTGCCTTCCTTCATGGTCCAGGACGTAGGAACAGAAAGAGGAAGCAGATAAGCTACAGGTCTGCTTTTCTTTATAGCCCAGGACATATTGTCCTCCTGCACAGATAATGTGCATAACTCACAAACTTCTTGCTTGCCATCAAACCCTCAATTTATCAGACACCTCAGTTGACAGAAAAATGCAAGTTAGCCTGTCACCTTGTTTTCAGTCAGCCCAAGTTCCACTCTATAGAATCCTCAGCAAGCCTTTGTCTCCTGGAAGTCAGCACCTCTTTTGCTGATTCTGGCCATTGCAACCTGGTAACACATTTTCCTACTTTCTCTAATAAATCTGCCTTTCTTTACCTACAACTGTCTTGGTATATTCTTTTGCGCCTGTGCCACTGGCCCAGATAGTTGCTGCTCACCTGTGACATGACTTACTAAAGGGGAGGGCTTGATACAGGACTTGTGCAGCAGAAAACAGAGATATGGGGGCCAGCTTATAACTCAACCTTCCATGGTGTATGTATCTAAAATGAATATTTACTCTCCTGCAGGAAAATCTAGAAAAGCTGCATAAAATATTCTTTAAAACATCCGAAGAATCCTGTCTTTCAAAACTGTTTCCTTTTTTGTTTGTTTGTTTGAGATGGAGTCTCGCTCTGTTGCCCAGGCTGGAGTGCAGTGGCGCGATCTCAACTCACAACAACCTCTGCCTCCCAGTTCAAGTGATCCTCCTGCCTCAGCCTCCCAAGTAGCTGGGATACAGGTGGTGCACCACCACACCTGGCTAATTGGATATT